GAGGTTTCTTCCTGTTAAAAGGGAGTTTTTCCTTTCCACTGTTGCTACAAGCATGCTTAGTGTGACGGATAGCATTTGAGTCAATGAAATCAACTGGTTCTCTTTAGATAGAAAACTTTTAATCAATTTGACTGTATAATCTGATGAATTGTAAAGTGCCTTGAGATGACATGTGCTGTGAATTGGTGCTATATAAATAGGGGGGAGTGGCTGATAAGATACCCAAATTGAATTACTGCACTCATTTATAGACCAAGACAGAATTGTACTTACTAAAAATATGATATAGGAGGGGTTTACGTGTGAGTAAAGAACCAGTTTAAGAAAGGATATGAATAAAGAACAGTTATAGAATACAATATCAATCATGTCTTAATAATATAATTAAGGATATTCTGCCTTTGAAAAGATTGCCATGAGCGGAGATCCATCTGAGATTATATTATACAGGTCTCAGGCAATGCTGTCAGGTTGTCTGATCAGGTGTATTTATCTCCAGGAATATTAATAATAATAATAATTAAAGAATAGGCTATGAATCAGTTTACACAAAGGCCTTGACTGTTTTACCCAAAGTATTTGTTCATCTTTAATGGTCACAGGCATTGTTTATTACATTTTGAAAGAGTGGCAAATATATATATATATATATATATTTCTTTTTCTTTTTTTAACAGATACTTTTGTCCAAAGAGACATACAAAGTAAGCAGTAGTGTGAAGGGTAAACAACTTTGGAATATTTGATTTCCACAGGTCGATTAGTTGCTAGTGGTTCTAGCATAACTGATAAAGGTAGCTCTATGTTGGAAATGTAGGAAAAAGAAAAAATCATGTTAAGACTTCTCTTCAGAAACTGTTTGTAGACACCTGCTGATGTCTGAGTAAAGTGTTTATTCCACAGTACTGTGCATGGTGAAATTCTACTTGCCAAAACCCTCCTTCTCTGCACACTAACACAACGCTTCACATAGAAGGTCGTCCTTGTGATCTGTGTTTTATTCTAAACCAGCTACCATCTCCATGCAGCACATATTGCTGTCAGGCAGCCA